AAAAAAATGAAAGACATTGGAAGGCATCTTATGAAAGTGATCATACGAAATAAGTTACACAAACTTTTTAAGTAGTCACCCTTTGCTGAAGGGTTCCAGCAACAATTAAAAGGATAACCTGAAGGTCATGAACAAGGGATTCTGGTGTAATGCCACGAGGTAGACAAGTTTCAGTTGCTTGTGTTAAACTTTTGACTCTGGAAAGTGACAAGGATTTAACATAACAGATTCTAAGAATGTCACAACAATTTCCGATTTTTCCTCCAAAGTGACGCGTGAACAATCCGACAAACCTACGGTGTGATGAAGAATAGAGGAGTTAGGAGAAGCTTCGCTCGAAAATTATCCTCATTCAAAAAAGTTTCCATCTATTGATAATTTATAATGGATCTATGGTCAGAGGAGAGGTCATTAACAATGGAGATAGCATGAGTAGCAAGAGAGTGATGACTGATGTGTATAGAATTAGAATTTAGAAGGTGTGTAAGTAAGATAATCCCTCATATTTACAAGAGAGAATTATCTCACTAATTAAACAGAATTATTAGCGAAGTGAGTTTAAGTGGAGGGATCCCGCATAGGAACGATTCCGCATAATAATACATCTCGCTCTTTATACTAACGACATAAGTGTTGGATAATATTTTTCTCAAGAGAAAGAGTTATCGTTCTGAGGGAACGGTTTGTTTAGTTTTCCTTTTTTAATTCCTATTGCTAATTTCTTGAAATTAAGTGATCAATCTTTTAAAACTAAGAAAAGACTAAATCAAACAAGGTATTTATCAGATTTGTATTAAACAAAATTTAACAGAGGAATATCTAATCACAAATGTATCAATTATAAGGTTCTGGAATTCTTTGAATCATGGATGAAGGAAAAATTTCGCATTCCTGCGTTTTATAACTGCTACGGCACTTTAGTATCAGAATTCGAATTACTATGGCTATTTTATCTGAAACTTCCCAGTTCCAGATTTTAATCTTTAGAAGGATCTTTTCCCAAAGTCTTCTAAATCTTTAAAAATTGTATCAAAGACCTCCTTGGGTTATCCCTAACCTCAAGGGTTCAATTAACAAGGGACATAACCTGATTTCCCAATCACAATTATGCAAAAATTATTCAAGACCCATTCCCATGGTGTTCTTGAACTTAAATCAAAATCTTGCTAATCAAATGAAACTAAAGCAAACCATCACAGTATTCAGAAAAATAAAAGATCACCCAATCATCGTGAATCCCAGAAAGGAAAAGATCAGAAACCCATATTCAAAAATATTACAAATCTAAAAGTAAAGAAACATGCATCACAAACATTCATGAAAGAAAACTCAAGGTAAAGTTACAAACCGGTTCTTAAAGAGTCAAAGTTCCTAAACTAGAGCTAGGAAGAAAACTTGCAGTAGTATGAAAACAATAGCTCGCATGCAGATCCGTGATTCCTTTCCTTGAAGGTGCGTTGTCAATGCACTTCGAGTACAAGAATTGAAGAACAAGCATTCAGCTTTCAAGGAATTTCTCAACACTCAGATTCAAAGAAAAAGATTACAAAAGATTCAAAACATAAAACTGAAAACTAAAAAAAAACGAAAGTTCTCTATATGTGGCCCTAATGACTCAGACTCCTATTTAGCTAGAAACTAAAGAGCTCCAAGAAATTGCATTGCTGTCCATCCATATTTTTGTCCATCCAATGGTTCAGATTTGATCTCACTTTCAAAGAGTTGATCATATGGCTCTCTAACTGCAGTAAAAATAGTAAAAGAGAATAGTAAATTATCAAATTATCTCTTTCTCTCTCTTTTACCTTATTGGGCTGATTGGTACTCATTTGGTCCATTACCATGCACTTATATCCAGCCTTCAACTCAAATATTGTAAAAATAAAGCCATTAAAATAATCATAATTTATAGCTAACAATAAGCAATGGATTATGGGCAATTAATTCGCATATATCTCATTCGGGATATAAGGTCTAATTCATGAATGACTTAAAAAGCTCAACACTTAAGATTTAAAGGCTTAAAGGAACACGTTCATCTTACATTAATGTCATTCCGCACACATATAGCCATACGACAACAATTTAAAACTCTAGCCATCCTAACAGGGACATACACTTAGTTCCAACTACACATATAAGACGTAGCCCACTAATAAACATCTTTCACCCGAGATAGCTTGCAAAAGGCTTTTGCTCACCAATGAGGATTATGTTGAAAATGGTACTAGGGGAACCCAAAACTCTTTGCAAGAGACCCTTTCACCACTGGGCCAAATAATAAACCACAATTAGTAAGTCGACGTCACATTTCAATCCAAAACCTTAAAGATATAGGTCCATAGGTCTTTTGCACTTTTATAGTTCTCACTATCTATGTCTAGCCAATGTAGGACTTCACACCACTACTCACACTTAATTTCCAATATCCTCCTTTCAAGTGTGAGACTCGATATCATGATCTCCCCTAGGGGCAACTTCTATGGAAGTCTCTTCTCTTCTAGCATTGGAGTTATACTAGTTTTTTACGGAGGCCTTAAACATCACCATCTCCAAATACTTGGCCAATCAAATTGTTGGCTCTGATACCACTATTGAGAATGGTACTAGAGGAACCCAAAACTCTTTGCAAATGACACTTTTACCATTGAGCCAAATAATAAACCACAATAAATGGACCGACACAACATCTCAACCAAAAATCTTAAGGCTATAGGTCCATGGTTCTTTTTCCCTTGAATGGTTCTCACTCGATCTATGTCTAGCAAATGTGGAAATTCACACCACTACTCCCACTTGATTATTTCCAACAGATTAATGCCGCCATAGCGACATAAGTAGGACAACCAACTATATAATGAATGTTTGAAGCCTATATATGATCATCTAATTCATCTTGACTTAAGCTCATATCTCAAATGCTGGTTTAAGCTCATAACTCACATACTAACTTGAGCATTGGAGTGTCTTGCAAGTATTTTGTGTTTGTTGTATGCAATCAAGGCAACTAGCACTAGATTCTCCATCCCGTAGAGGAACTGTCAAAGCGTCTCGTGAATGTAACACCCAACCACACCAACACAGAGAAGACCCTAATGGCTATTGAACCAGAGTCAACCGTAATGGCTATTGAACCAGAGTCAACCGTGTGTGGTCTAGCCCAATCTTTATTAACTGATCAAGTCGTCTAAAATATCTTATTCATTTATTAATAAATCAATAATAATGTGATAAATAGTGAGAAAAAATAATGATTAATTTATCTATAAATAATTAAAATTGGCTCACACGATCTAATTATATTAAATCACAAATAACAAAACTCATTCCCCAATTAAAAAAATACCAAGCAAGAAAGAAGCGAGAATATCATAATTGGGATCGAACCCCTGTTCTTTTTGTATTATTTTTCTATTTTTATCAAATGAGCGGTAATAAAAGAATAAATATAATTTTTCATTGCACGGAATTTCGTTTTTTTTTTAATTTAAAGAACTCATAGCTCTATTTTTTTTTTCTGAATTTAATTTTACCCATATAAATCTCCACGAATTCAATGGTAGAAACTGGAAATAGAAATAAGAGCTGATGGATGAGTCGACAAATAAAAGCAGTTGTTTATACAAAATAAGGGGGAAATATTTATCATTTAAAAGAATGGTCATTTTAGATGAATATAGTGTGTTTTTTTAAATTACAAATAAATTCCTCCTTCTCTATTCCCATAGTTTGTTCTTTTATCTTTCTTAAAAAGATATAAATGTGTATCCTTTAAAAGGATAAATATGGGATAGGATATTGTGACACCCAAGTTATGTTACACCCATGTGACACCCAGTCAATCTCACCGTTAGATCGCTTATGTTGATCCAACAGTTATATTTATTTCCATCTTTGTATGGTCATAATTTCTCAAATTTAAAATGAAAGCATTAAATATGGGAAATCATAACCATACAAAGGTAGAAATAAATATAAAATATTAAATTTGGGAAATCATGACCATACAAAGATGGAAATAAATATAACCGTTGGATCAACATAAGCGATCTAACGGTGAGATTGACTGGGTGTCACATGGGTGTAACATAACTTGGGTGTCACAATATCCTATCCCTTAAAAGAATGGTCATTTTAGATGAATATAGTGTGTTTTTTTAAATTACAAATAAATTCCTCCTTCTCTCTTCCCATAGTTTGTTCTTTTATCTTTCTTAAAAAGATATAAATGTGTATCCTTTAAAAGGATAAATATTTTTTCCACAAAATAAATAGATAAATAAAGAGGAGTATTTGGAATAATGCATTAAAACTCCCGTTAATTTGCATGTTCAAATCTCAGATAAAAAAATAAAAAAATAGATATTGATAATTTAAAAATTATAAATAAGTTTCTATAGTTCTTTTATAAATTATTTGATTTTCTAGACTTAATAATAATTAGATTCTGAAAGCTCTTTTCTAATTATAAAGCTCGTTTATAGTTTTTAAACTACAACAATTTACTTAAGAATTATTAAAAAAAAAACAGAGATATTCAAATTAACTAAACCAAAAATAAAAAATAAAAAAATCAAGATACACAATAGATAGGGCAAAAAAATTAAAATATTATTATTTTAATAAATAATTACGAATACATATCTGTTTTGAAACTATCTACGGATCTATTGCACTCATTCACGCTCAAATTAGGCGTGACTATTCATGCCCAAATTAGGCGTGACTCCCAAGGCATTCACGCCTAATTTAGGCGTGAATCATCTGGTTGACACATGGCAAAAAAAGTCAACTTACGAACCGTAAAACTTTGGAAAGTCATAACTTTTGACTCGGGTATCCGAATGAGGTAATTCTTTTTTTGATTCCACATAACTTTTCGAGATCTACGCAATGACATCTCATTTGATATATTTTATCTCTCACAAACACAATTCAAATTTGCAATAATTGTATTGCAAATTCCACATCTATCCAAGGATTAAATATTACTCATCGACATGCCAGACAAATTCCATAGACAAAGGAGTGATCATTTAAGCTCAAAGGGTAGTAAAAGGTTTTTGTTGATAGCTGTAGGAGGTCTGGGATCTTGGGATGAGCCTTTGGAATCTGGAGAAATATATGATTCTGTATCAAATAAATGGACTGAAATCCAGAGATTGCCTTTTGATTTTGGAGTTGCTTGTTCTGGAATTGTTTGTGGCAGGATGTTTTATGTTTATTCCAAGATGGACAAGCTTGCAGCATATGACATAGAACGAGGTTTCTGGTTTTCAATTCAAACCACTCCGGTCCCACCTCGTGTACATGAATACTACCCCAAACTTGTATCTTCTAATGGCCGACTTTTCATGCTCTCAGTGTCCTGGTGTGAAGGGGATGGTCAAATTGGGCGACGAAACAAGGCTGTTAGAAAATTGTGGGAGTTAGATCTCATGTATCATACCTGGACTGAAGTTTCAGTGCATCCTGATGCCCCAATGGACTGGAATGCAGTTTTTGTGGCAGACAAAAACCTGATTTTTGGGGTAGAGATGTTCAAAATATTTGGTCAGGTGTTGGATTTTCTCACTGCATATGATGTGTCTAATTTGGCTAAGTGGAACCATATTTCAAGGAATCATGTTACTCATGAGCTGGATGGTTCTTCGTGCTTGACCAAATCTGTGGCTGTCCTACACCTATGAAATCCTTTGTGCATGTATCACGAGCTTCATCAACTAACAACGAAAAGTAATCATTGCCAAGATCAATAATTATTGCTTTAACAGTCAAATCAGCACACACTTGAGCAAGATCTTTCTGAATTTTTGGTGAAGTCATTTTGTGATTATCGGAGGCATTTTGCAAGACCACATGACTCATCTCTTTATTTGGCTTAGTATAGAACTTTAGAGTTTCAATAAATAAACCTTGTTGATTTGAACTTTCAGACTCATCATGTCCCCTAAAAGGCTGACCATTTCGTAGTAGGTATCTTGCACAATCTAAATAAGCTTTCAGCCGAATACGATAATCAATTCTTTGTTGCTCAGAAATATTTGAAAAGGCAATATCAATATGTTGTTTTTGCTTCATCAAATCTTGACCAGCTTGATAACATCTATTGTGAACACTCCTATGATCTCCAACATGAACTTTGATTATGTCCTTCTTTTGCCAATTTTTGAACCCCACAATATCAAATGCTTCATGATTCGAACCACTACCTCCAACCTCCATATCAAATAGATAACAATACAAGCAATAACATGCATCTTGTGATACACTATACTCCAACCAAGAACCAAAATCTTCATACCACTTAGGATTGAATCTACGCATTGTCTCATACATATTCGTTTGAGGGAATGGTTTAAGAATTGGTTGAGTTGGTCCCTTGAGCAAATAAGCTCTCCGAATATCCTCTCTCTCTATAGGATTTGGTGTCATTGAATAAATTGAAGTTCTTTTTCCCGGATCCGCTTCAAGATTTTCTATATTGAATTTTGCTTGAGGTGGTGATTGAAAACTTTGAAATTGAGATGCTTGTGGTGGTACATTTTGTCTTTGATCTTGAGGAGAATTTTCCACAATTGAAACATTTTGTCTCTGAGGTTGATAGGATTCTTGGACAATTGGAACTGAAATACTATTTGAAACTTGTTCACTTTGAGATATGAGTTCTGTATTTGTGGGTTTTAGACGTTTGAAATAAGATTGTATTCCTGACAAATCATAATTTATACTTAAATCAATAATACTCATTATGTTAGTGAAACAATTACAACCTAAAAATCCAAAAATAAATATCAATTACACCGTATGTTGCTATTAAAATAGTTATAACAAATAAATAAATATAGAAAGTTACCTTTCATTGAGACTTGTCAAATTACTACAAACCCACAATTATTTGTGCTCTCAATATTTCAATATCATGATCCAATTTTTGCTTCCACTCCAAAAGTAAAGCTTTGGAGAATCAACCAAAGTTATCCTATATTAGAATCAAACATAAATAAATTAGAGAATCAACAAAGAGACAAAGAAATATTAACTATGCAATTCAAAAAAATAAAGATCAAACTGTAACTCCTTACAAAAGGCCCACATACTAAAAATTAACGCATTCAGTTCATAATTTTCTAGTGCATTCAATTCAGATCCAAATGAATAAAAATTAACTAGCGCATTCAATTCATAATTTTCTAGCGCATTCAATTCAAAGAAATATTAACTAGCGCATTCAATTCAGACCCAAATGAATAAAAATCAGCGCATTCAATTCATATTTTCTTTCCAAATAAAAACGTGATTTGGAAAGAAACCGACCCGGTGGCGTGCAATTCGAAGGGTCTCAGAACTCAGCCCTGGGTTCGAAATTGGGGCTTTTGGTCTGTGGTGGAAAATTAGGGTTTTGGTAAATCTCAAAAATGTCGACGGGCAAACCCAAAGACGGCGACTTTCAGGTGGTTGTAGCGCCGGCGACTTTCAGGCTCCGTCGATTTCCACCAGTACCGGCAGATGAGACGTAAGGAGCAAGACCGTCTTGCTAGGATGGAAGTTGACTACCAGAGAAGGAAAGAGTTGGCTGAATTTAGTTTGAGAAGGAAGGAGAGATTAAAAGCTGCAGAGGAAAGAACAACAAAGAAGCGAGCAAAACGTCAGCATCTATATTTTGCAACAAGATGGATTGTGCAAGGGCAAAAGCAACGAGGGCGGAAACGAGATGGTAATTGTGAAACATTGAAGACAACGTCATAGCAGACGCAATGAAGTAAGGCATGATCCACCGTGTTGTCTCAGTCAATCAAATTTGCAGCAGAGAGAGAGCGGAAGAGGTAGCGTGTGGAGAAATTTGTTGCAAATTTTAATTTTCTTTTCTTTTCATGTCTGCAGGTGCGGACACCTGCCCCTACGTGGGTCCGCCCCTGATCAAAGGCAACTTGAAGACTTTTTCAGTTCCCTCATGCAAACAACTTGCTGATCTCTTCACCAAAGCTTTGTTGCCATAAAAAATCTTTGCTTTATTGTCCAAGATGGGAGTCTTAAATATATACTCTCTATCTTGAGGGGGCCTATTACAATAAATGTATTCTCGAGGGGGCCCATTACATTCAATGAAAGCATCAATTGAATGTTACACTCTACATGAGCGACAGGAAAGAGAGAATGAAAAAGAACAATGAAAATGGGTAAAAGTTTCAATATTATTCAAGCAATAAATTGGTTACATTGTTCTACTGACTTTTATACTTCACCTTGATACCCAAATAGTACCCAAGATACATATGTTACGGTGCGCAAGTCTAGTAGAGTCAAGAGAAGTTCCATTCGGTTGGATGACTTTGTATCATAGGATTACATATTGTAATTAGTTGGTTAGACAGTTGTTAGTCAGTTAGAAGGTATAGGACAGGTGTCATAGTAATAGTGAAGTCACATGACAGATGTTATAAAAATAGCAATGTACAATTGATTCGACCCATTGAATAATAAATCAGAGTTTTTCTCTTTTACTTGTTCTGTTCTTCATTCCATTAGGACCCATAATCCTAATATTGGTGCTTTCATCTTGAACCACCTCTGGCTTGCAGATTTCGGCGATCGATCATGAGGATTCAGGAGTTAGCCAAAGAAGTCACTTCATTCCAACAACGTATGGACAACAACATTGCGGATATTCGTCTTCAAGCTACTGATACCCAAAACCAGATTTCCTTGCTGGTCACCCAAATGCAACAGCTCCAGGAGGCATTCTTAGCACGACCACCACCGGAACGACACTCTCCGAATGTTCCACCTGGGTTTCACAATGAGTCCACGTCTTTCCAACAACACACGAATTCCACTAATCACCTTGACCAGCGTTCATTACTTAAGGGGGTGCGTATGGAGATACCCATTTTTTCTGGCATTGAACCAAATGTTTGGATTTTTAAGGCTGAGCTTTTCTTTCATTTGCAACATATTCCCGAGGAATCCAAAGTTCCTTTGGCTGGAATTCGAATGGAGGGCATGGCCGCGACATGGTTCCAATGGATGTATAAGGGTGGAACGGTGACCACTTGGCCAACATTTACAATGGCTTTGCGTCAACGATTTGGCACTTCAGCCTTTGTCAATTTGAAAGGCACACTATCCAAGCTCACCCAGACGTCAACGCTCAGAGATTATGTTCAACGTTTTGAATCTTTGGTTAACCAGGTACCGGAATTGGACGACGATTTGCTTATGAATTTTTTCATATCCGGGTTACAAGCAGAGTTGAGGAGTGCTGTCCAATTGAGAACACCCACAACCCTTCATCAAGCTGTACAATTGGCCATGGCTTACGATGATCACCATGGGGAACTTCGAGTTTCTTTTTCTGGAGGTTCGAGGAAATTTGTACCTCGCACTCCAGCTACTCTGGAAAATGCCTCTTCCCCTGTTACCAACAATCCTCCTGTTACCAATAATCCACCTTTGGCTTTACCCTCTAGTGCAAACATCAAGCGTTTCTCACATGCTGAATTGGCTAGAAAAAGGGATCTGGGTCAGTGTTACACCTGTGATGAAAGGTGGACTAAGCAACATCGGTGCAAGGCCAAATTTATGTTGCTGATAGGTGAAGAGGATTATTTTGAGTCAGACCCGGATGAGGAAAAGATCCTTTGGCAACCTGATCAACCCTCTACCACACCGAATGATGCTTTTTTGCATTCTTTATGTGCGAAGGAAAATCAACATGCTTTAACATTTCTGACTACCTTGGCAGGTAATTCTGTTTCTGTGTTAGTAGATTCCTGAAGTACTCATAATTTTTTGCAGGAAAGCTTAGCTTTGCAACTCAATCTGCCTATGACCCGCACACACAAGCTTCGAGTTTTCTTAGGGAATGGAGAATGTCTCATCTCTGACCGAAGATGCTTGCAAGTTCCTATTCAATTACTGTATATTGTGTTTTTAGTTAATTTTTGGGTTATTGAATTGGTTGAGCTTAATGTAGTGTTGGGCATGCCCTGGCTTGAATTATTGGGTAGAGTTACTCATGATTACAACAAACTGACCATGTAGTTCACTTGGAAGGGCTGTGATATTTTGTTACAAGGATTGCAACTGAAATCTATGGCAGCTTCTACATTACATTGTGTTCAGTGTGATTGTGCTACTTGCTGTTCTATGCACATTTCGAGTGAGACATTCCATCAACACAACATTGATTCTGCAATTGCATCTCTAAAAGGCACGATTCATCCATCCTTATGGCAAGTCATCTTACAACATCAAGGGGTATTTGCTATCCCTTCTGTTCTTCCTCCTTTTCGTGGATGGGACCATTCAATTCACTTGCTGGAGAACAACAAACCTATTAATGTGAAGCCTTATCGTTATGCTTATGCTCAGAAGGCAGAAATCGAACGCCAGGTTGCTGAGTTGCTGAAAACAGGATTTACTCAACATTCACAGTGTCCCTATTCGTCTCCTGTTCTCTTAGTCAGGAAGCAAGATAACACATGGAGGCTTTGTATTGATTAGTCATGTGACTCTAACTGATTAGCTCTAACTAACCATTCTACACACGTGACACTAACTATTACAATCACTTACGCCATTCACTAGCAACCCTAAGCTCCTAACAATAGCCTTAGCAATAATGTTCTTCAGCAGTTATTGTACGTAACAGACCAACTCTATTACATTCATTAGGCTACAAGGTAAA